GAAAACATACAAATTCTACACAGATAAGCCACAACTGAGCTTTAAACCTGCAACCATCTTACTGTGAAGTGACAGCTGTAAAAACTGCACTGCTGCGCAGCCAGTCCTGTTGTTTTGTTCATTTATCTCAAAGTCTGAACTTAAATCTGGAAATGACATCATAACCAGCAAAACCATGTGTCAGATGCAAGATTAGAAAAATGAATAATTTCTTAATTGTTGTGCTCAAAAACCAGACTCGCTATTATTAACAATGCATATAAATTCCAACGGTTTAGCGTCATGTTTCCTTGTGAATGCAGTAAAACATTGAGTGAGACTACTGTATATGAGATACAAACTGCATGAAATGGAAAAATATTACTAGTGTTCATGTATTACTGTTTACATGTGTCATAACTTTTCATGTGCAAAGCAGCCAAGTTGAATTTTTAGGTGAGGGATAAAGAGAAATTCTGAATTCATGAGGCGTTTCAGAAGTTTTTTTTTTTTTTTTTTAAACGCATAACTTGGATATTCAGACTCGGGAGAACAGATTGAACACAACACAAATGTTCAGGCTTATGTGTCCCAAATGCATTTTACAGAAATGACATACAGATTTGTTGAGAAAAGTATTTTTGATTTATGTTTGCAGTGTCAAACAAGGACACAGCAGGGATATTTTATTGAAGAAAATAGCACAATTATAAACTATGTGGCAGCTCTATGGTATAATATACGTCAGAAAGCTGATGCCAACAATTGTGACTATCTCTGACCCAAAGTCAGTCCATGTGCACATTTGATGTTTTGCTTTCAATGTAAATATTCAGTATCTTTAGAGGATCTTCTCTGCAGCCTTCATGGAAAGACTCCGTGGCCAGAGGCTGGCAAATAAATCTTAATAAATACAGTTTAAATGATGGCTTGCAATGCTGCAGTTTACTTTTTGTACACTGTGGGATTGTTCCCAGTTTCATAAACATGTCCCCACAGTGTGAGCAACAAACACCCCCCAACACACACACAGCGAGAGAAACAAGCCTCTTCTTAGAGTTCCGCTTTTAAAAAAGAACTGGATTTGTGTTCAGCAGTGTTCCAGCAGCAGTAAACAAACAACTTTGTGCTCCTCATTTACAGTCCCGGTTTTCAAACACGTTATAACCTGTTTACCTCAATTTCACATGATTTTATGCTTAATTTCTCTCACCCTTAAACCCAAAGGACAAGGATGTGTCACAAGGTTCTGTAAAATTCTCTCATCCATAACTCATTTGAGGGTCTAAAAATAAAATTCATCTTTTCTTTCCTAGTCCTAATGATGAGACAAGAAAAAAAACTCTCTCACATATGGAAGAATGGCTCAAGACTAAATAACAACTTTGTTTTATATTTTTTTTTTACTTCTCATTATTATTATTTTTAGTTCTTTTTTGTAATATTTCCAATTCCAGTATTTCTTCATTCTTTATATGACATCTCATAACGAATAATTTTGCCTCTTCACCACTAACTTCAGGTAATATCATTATTCACTTAGGTTTAAATAACACTAAAAGCTAAAACATATAATATTTTACAAAATGAGTATCATATTATTGGGCCTTGGGCGGCATGCTAATGCAGTTCACCGCTCATCAAGGTTGAAGGTTTAAATCCTGGCTTAGGACTTTTCTGGATGGTGAAGAAAAAAGTACACACTTAGTTCTAGGTCTTAGTTTTTTCAGGAAGTCCATTTTCCTAAAACATAAATATTGTCAAAAATATTCCTCACACACATGCAGTCTGACAAAAGATGGAAATTGGATTACTCTCTCCTTTTTATGATGAACAAACACCATTCTCAGCTTTCCAACCTGTCTTTTTGTGTCTCCATTCCGCATTATAATATCAATGAGTGAAAACAAAAGGCAACATTAGGCATTCTTAATCCCTTAAAGCTGTTTTATGTAATTTAATAAATAAGCTGCTCCACTCACTGCTTCACCCCTCTTCCCACACCACCGCCCACCACTGGGAAAGGACTCATGCATATTTCAGCATGGTGTCTGCCCATTCTGAGTGGAGCTTATTGTGGCTGCATGCAGGCACCCAATCAGCCCTCTTTCCTTTCGTTTTCTCTTTTGTCTTACTTTCACTCATTTCTTTGACATCTGTTCTTTATCACCATTCAGCAGTTATGAACATGGAAACCCAAAGCAAACACATAAAAAAAAAATCTCAATTTGCCTATGACAGATCAGCACACCTTTCCTTTTTCAACCACACATTTGTCAAGACCTGCTAAAAGAAAAAGTTCCGTATGCCCTTGAGTGAGAAATCTGTTCAATATGCACAAATCTAATGACTCTAACCTTTAAGGGTGAATGTGTTTACCAACTGTGAGAAAATTCCCACATTCAAATTATTAACAAACAAGCCCTCTTTGCATGTTTTCCCTGGCGGCTACTTGAAATAGGTCTATTTAAAATCTGAGCAGAGCAGATATAAAATAATCATAGGGCACCTTGGAACTGAATATAGCCATGACCAAGACATATGATCGTGTTGGCGGAGAGTAAACATCTGCTCACGGCTTTACCGTTCGCAGATGATGTCTAAGATGTGGACCAACAGCGAAATACAATCCAAGAATGGTGGGATACTAACCACAACTCGTTAATTGAAGTCTGAGTTTCTCCAGTGCAATTTTCACTTTAATTAAAAGCATTTTGAGACAACCGTGATAATTACACATAAAGTATGCCCTCGGTGAGGACTTCGGAGTACAGGATTTCTAGGAAAAATACTAAAAAAATAAAGCTCAGCAAGAAAAAATGGTTTATGTATTTTAACCTTTTTCCAAACGCACTTCGTCCTGTTGAATGTATGATTGCTGGAACATCACCGTTGTAACCAGGTAGGGTGTTGGTGGTGAAGAGGGAGGGAATTGAATAAGCTATCAATCCCTCAAATACATGCAAAAACATTATCACCTGCTTTCACCTTTTGACCCCATGTGGTGATCCATTTTTTTTTCATAATCACAATTTCCCCCCAAAAAAATGGTACGACCAAATTTGTCAGTGGGGTACATTTCAGATAGACCACCACAGCTGCTCTCCTTCAAAACCAATTACTTTCCACCGGTGAAGAGTTACAGGTTTCTGATAAAACTCATCCATAAATACATTCCTCTACTTCAACTTCAATTTCATATTATATGACCACCTTCTGTATGTGCCTGGCAATGTTATAACCTGCTAACAGTTTTGGAAAAGTTGCAGCACATGATTTATTTATGTATTTTTAATGTGCACTGTAGGACTGACTGACAGCTGTTAATGTCCAAAACAACAACTGAACTGCCTCTGATACACACTTCCACCGTGTGCTGCTGTACGCGCCTGATACCGGGCTGTGTCTAATATGCTGGAGATTGACTTGCTCCTACTGGCTCCCAGTTAGTGAAGGGGATTTGAACTATTTTACCTTCCCAGATCTGCACACCTTCCCTCAGGCCCTTTCACCTAGATGGCTTAAATATTAATGGCAAGGATAGAGGTTGAGTGAGGAGAGGAGAGGACTGACAGCTTAATCATGGAGGCAGTAGCCTCCCTCTCCCCCTCTTTTCCTCAACGCTGTGGGCGGCTGTCACCACGACCTACATGATGTAATCACATCTATAACCCTGATATGGGCCACCGAGGGCCAAGCAGGGAGAGATGGAGACAGAGAAGGTTGTGAGAAGGAATCTTTCCACAGAGGATCGTTTAATGTCTAAACGCAAAGACAAGTGTGGAAGATGTGAAAGCTGTGTCAAATTACTATAAGATGGAAGAATAGAATAGTCTAGCTATTGTCTAATAATTTCACCACTTTCATGGGTACATTATCTTCTTTTAAAAATATTTTTTATTATCATCATTGGTACTATTTATTAGTATTCTTATTAAAGACCTAGCATTCCTTAAAGAAATGCATATTGCCCATCATATTTTATCTAAGAGATTCAAACAAAGATTTTATCCTGAGAAATGAATTGCTTGTATGTTGAGACCATCAATAAAACCTGTTTAGTAGTTCTTGAGATATTTAGCTAACAGATAAAAAAGACACACAGGCAAAAACATGCAAAATCAATACTAAAAATGTTTTGCATGACTCCAATTACTTAAAAAGGAAATTTAAAAAAATCGTAGCAACTAAAATCTTCGTAATCACAAAAGACAAGTTTTAAGTTTTTAAATCAGAAAATTTGTACRTAATGTTGTCAGTACATCTATTTTTCAGTACATGTATTTTTTATGATGCTAGTACATTTTCTGTTTGGCACTTGCTGTTGTTTCCAAAGTTCTGATTTTCAGCTTTACAATGTTGTAAAGCCAGAGGCTCATACATGCAGAAAATACTGGGAAAACAAAAGCTGACTTGGAAATGACTACAAAAACAAAACTGCAAACAAACTAGTAAATAATAAAAAAGTATAGGTTTGTGAATGCAGTCTTTGTTTTTCTAATATGTCAGCAAACCTGAATAACTTGTTAAAAAATAAAACCCAAATTCTGCAGAACATGTTTTATGTTGTATTTTAATGATATGACTGTTTTCAACAGTGACAACTGACCTTTAAATATGAATAAATCAGATATGTCTCCTAGTCATTATTTTTTTATTTTTTAATTAATATTTAATCCTAGAAGAAGCTATGAAAATTGGTTTGGTTATACATTTGGGACTGAATAAAAATGGATTTAAAATAAAACAAATGACAATAATTCATTGGGGGAATTAACTGAACAACAAATTGAAAACCACTTCCGAGACATGAACTCATTATCTGCCTCCAAACGGTATCATTTCCCATGTGAGAGGAAGAATCTGGACGATAAAAGTAAATCTGGATTTGAAACAGGTCATTATTTCTGCTTCTGACCTGTTCACATCGCTATAACTGATATCATTAATGTTGCAGTGGCCGTTCATTTTGAACCAGATACTCTGTACAGTAGAAGCAAATACAGGGCTGCCCTTCTTACCCCATTTATTGGATATGTCTTCCATCCCAGCTCTCCAAGCACCGACGTTGTATCCAGCAGCACAACTGAAACAAGAAAAAAAATGGTGGAATTTACAGTGAGCAATTTGACGACAAGTTAGATTAAAATATTGGTGATATACAAGTTGATTTGGACATTTTCATTTTTTTTTTAGCTTTCGTGGATAATCACTCTGGCAGCAAATTCAATGAGTGCAAAATCTTTATATGTGGCATGTTTTAGGAATGATGGATTGAAATCAGATTGCTGTCTAAAGTCCATTTCTCCCAAACAAAACGTTCTTGTGGTGCTCCTCACTGGGACTTTTCACATCATGAAATCATTTCTACCCCACAGTAAATTTGTCTTCAGCCCTGGCTGTGTAAAATGTGTTTTATTATGCCCAAATATAATTCAAGAATCTTGTCATGTCATAGGTTATGTTGATAAATTCAAGCCTTGTTTTATGTACAGTGATAAGGATTTTGACAAAAGCATTTAATCATTCGTAGTTAAATTTGAATGTCGAGGACTTTTAATTTTTTTTTTTGAAAATATAGCCAACCTTGTCAATATTTCTTTTTGCACTCAAAGACAGTGATTTTTAATAATTCAGGAGTATTTTTTTTTTTACCTAGAGACAAGTGATTTACAGAAAAAAAAAGCAGATCCTGAATTTACCCTCAGTGAGATGCCAGCACAACCACCAAACCAGGAGCAATGCTTTTTTTTTACCCTCACTTGCGACATAAAAATAAATAATAAATAAAAAAACAAAACAGCAGTCATAAACTATAAAGTCTTTTCCAAAACCATAAATATTAAATGAGACCCATCTAGTCACCTTGTCAAATGAGCCAAGTACACAGTATGTGTGAAAACACAGTTTGTCCTAATTATGTGCAGATACACAACATTATGATGTGCGGAAAAAAGCAGGTTTTCAGGACGAGGTGTGCTACCRATAAAAAACACAAAACAAAAAGCAAAACCAAGAAAAGAAATAAAATAAAAAAACACTACACTCTAAAATTATTGTTTATTATCATTCCTTTTGTGTAAATCATGGGTGTGCAACCTGTGGCTCCGGAGCCACTTATGGCTATCTAGGCCCAGTGACCCTTAAAAACTTAGAGCAGGAATGTTATCAAACTAATCAGTGTTCAAGAGAATACGAAACGGCTTCCACGTAAAATCTGTAATTTTCAAATTTTATATATTAAGAAGTGCAATTTATCACTACAGCTAAATTGCTATACAAAATATCAAAATGGCAAAAAAATGCTTTTGGATGGAATAAATAATGTTATTAGAAAAAATGTCCTCCCATTATGTATTTATGCTTACTATTTGGTTGAACTTATTAAGAAAGTACAACTAAGTATTTTATTACTAAAACAGCAGAAGTAGTAGTGGTTGTACTGTTTTCAAGAAAACCAGACTGACGAAATGGAAATGAACTGAATTAATTTCCCAATAACTGGATAGATGTGTGTCATGTTTCGTCATCAGGAGATTTATTTGAAATGACATCAAAACATCATGTGGCCCCAATTAGCTCAAGTAGATTGTGTGGCTCCAGGCAAATTTATTTTGAGATGAATGAGGACGCTGGCTCTTTGGGTTGTAAAGGTTACAAACGTTTGGTCTAAACTGATAATCAGAAACAAAAATTAAAAGTTGTCTTTGTACAGCCTTGAAAATAAAACTCAAATTCTGCTTTGTGTTTTACACACTAATACCAAATCTGGCAAATCAATGTGTATWTCTGGCTTGAATAGTGACTGGATTGTTTGTGCCAGTCAGTCATGAATGTCCACTCATGGGCCTCTAGTTGTCCTCCAGACACTCATTATTACCAACACAAATCTCCACCAGTGACAGTCTGGTGAAGAAATATCCCTGAACAGCACTACAAGGTGAGAGCTTGTGGATACAACAGGACATGCATCAAAGAATGCTTCTTCAAGCTGTGATACCACATGTATGAGCCTCTGCAGGTAACAAGGCCTACTGTGTGTATTTTCCCATAGGTTGAGCATGCAGGGGGTTTCTCCAACAGTCCAAAAACAAGCACATTAGATTATGAAGATTTTAGTTTACCATGCATGATTGTCTGTCTTGTGTGTGTTCATTGGTGCTAACAGGTAACCTGACCAGAGTGTACTCTGCCTCTCACTTGACTGCTGGAGCAGGCACCACCAGCCCCCAGTGAATGAGTAAATGCAGGAATCGTAAACTCTGAGAACCTTTCAGTTGCTTCAGCAAACTGCATTTATATTTCTCTGCTCTCCTTCCTTCACAAACAAACCAAGAAGTCATTGACATATGCAAGAAGTTAAAGCAATGAGCTGGTTAATGAACTGAGAACCCCCGCTGAGCCAGAGAATGTATTCTATAACATACTGGCTACARGGATCAGAGATCTGGATTAGAAGGGAGCTTTTGAAGATGATATAATTTTTTTTCTGAGCTCTATGGAGTCATACTGATGTTTGGTTAACATACCAATTACAATGAAAATGCATAAAACAAAGAAAATAAAAAGAGAAAGAGCTTACAGAAAATTATCATTTTTCTTTTCTTAGGATTATTTTAAATAAGAAAACTTTCAACTCAATTTAGGGTTGTCTATTGTCAAAAAATGGTGATATGAAACATTTCACTGCACTGGGATAACAATATGATGCATTGCACTTTTTATTCTCCAGAAGATTCTAAAAAGAAAAAAAAAACTCAGTATCCATTGCATTTATACAATCTGATTAAATTCACTTTACTTTTATGAAATCATAAGAACACTGAACAACAGAGGGGACTGCATTTGTATTTCATATTTCTTCTTAAAACATCCATCCACTGAGCCTTAATTAATAATTGATACAGTGATCATAAGAATCAATATAGTATTAGGGAATGTCTATCAATCCTTTCTTACATCCCTAATTTAAATATAAGCAAAAGCAAAAGTCAAAACACACGTTTARGTCTGCATTTAATTTTAAGGAGTAAAAATTTAGATGAACTACTTTAATGTTTCATTGCCTGCAGCTCAAATCAAAAATCACGGGATCATTTTTGTTGGTTGGTGTGTGTTCCTTTATCGTATAAGTGGTTTATGAGATATTATGCTAAGTACATTTTAATGAAACTTTCATACAGTAATCATTGGTTGTACATCTACAACAGGTTACCTTGTTGAGTTACTTTAACTTGACACGGCTATTGCTGCTAAAAAATTTTAGCCAACACGAAAATTATAATTCAGTAAAAGATTAAAGACATAGATCTGAAGTTTGATTTTAGCAGCAGGTGAACATCATCCTCCACACATTTCCTACAACAAATCACTTTGAGCTTTTTTTCTAGTTTTTGGTTGAGTTTTTATAACCTTCAAGCAGACAAATTGAAAACATAAAGCACATCAAATCACAAGTACCAGTTTATATTTAAACAGCAACGATTTAAGTAGAAACTAAGCTTTTTTTTCTTCCTGAACAGCAGCTAAGAGCATTTAATTACTCATGCTGTGATATAACAGTGTGAGATTAGGTGCAGAAAATGGACATTGATCTATATGAAATTGCAGCGGATTATTCTATTGATTGACTGTCCGGTCCAGCGCAGCAAGAAAAGACTTCATGCTGATCATTTTATCCTCTAACCCCACTCTCTCTGCACAGCTAGTTTAATATTTCCTCTATTGGTTGCTTGTCCCTGCATCTCTGTGTCCTTTCCTGCCCACTGATGTGTTGTATCTGTGCTACGTCTGCCAGGCTGGAGGACTAGAAGACACTGCCAAATACTGTTAATGGATACCATTTGGCTACTGTGGGCAGGTAAGCAGCACAGTTGCTGGAAAAATGGCCTAATTATGGGTAGTTAGCTGCATTACTCACTGCAGTGAGATGACTGGAATCACAGCATTTCAAATATGAAATTATCTCCCATTTAAAAATAAAGTGGCACACAATGTCAGTAAATCTGCCATTGAGCATAAAATGAAATATAGCTAAGGTTMAAAAAAATGTAAAAAAAAGACACACTACAAGTAAGGTAATGCCATAATACAGTAGACTCTTAACAACAAGCCACAACTTTTTCAAATTAAATTCTGAAATGGACAGAAAACCAGTGTAAGGAGGCCAACACAGATAAGATGTAATCACATTGTTTCTCTATTCAGGAGACGATCTGCTGTCCTTGTGCATTATATATTATAGCTGTTAAAGATTTGATTAACAGCTTGCTTTTTTCCCCACCATATGAACCATCATTTGTTGTGTCTAATCAAATCTTGATGGAACGGTTTATTTTTAAAGAGTGACACCACGTAAACACATCTGGTGTGTCTACACTGCTTTGGCTGACATCACAGCAGTTATAAGTGTGACCAAATAATTCGGAATCATCAAAACAAAAAGACTATTTTACCTGTTTTACGCTTTGAAAAAATATAAATTTATTCCATAATTTTTTTTTTTACATAACATCACTTTAGTGCCCTTCTCTATTTGCCAGGTTCTTGTGTGTTTTTCTAGACGATATCAAGAACTCAAAGTAAATACTCAACTACTTTCACGTAACTCAAGGTCCACACTGAGGGTTTTTTTTTCTGGACAGTTAATGTGTTGAATATTGATTTTTCATATCAGTCACAAAATCAGTTGGATTCAAATGATAAAGACAGTTTTCATGTGATGAGACCAGCAGAGGTGTAAGCACACCATCACTGAATGAATCTGAATGCTCTCTGATAATCAGCAATAATAAAAGTTAAACATGCTTACTAGGATGTAAAAGAGTACTTGTACATAACCACTTGTTTTTTTAAAACACATATATTGTTACAGTACATACAATAAGTGTAAAACTGCTGAATCTAGCAGCTTTCTGTAACTACACTGCAAAGAATGTCCACCTAAACAAGTTTTGAAACCTTATATCCAGCCAAAAAGACTTTTTGATCTTGTTTTGAGACTGATTTACTAAAAAAGAACTGATCATGTAAGAATAATAATCTTGTTTTCAGAATGTGTAAGATTATTTGTCTTGTTAGTCTGAA